GTTGGCCATGGCGAGTTGGTCATGTTGAGTTGGCCATGGCGAGTTGGCCATGTTGAGTTGGCCATGTCGAGTTGGTCATGTTGAGTTGGCCATGGCGAGTTGGCCATGGCGAGTTGGCCATGGTGAATTATCCCCAGCAAGTTGGCTGAAGCAAGTTGTCCCATTCCTGGGTTTCCATTCTTTGACCATGCAGAGCAATTAACCAGTAGCTCTTCTGCAGGGGTCAGTTCCTCTTCCCCATCCCCCACCCTTACTCCTGCAGCGATCCACTAGGTTACAATCAAGCTTCTTGGGGGAGGGGTTAGGAATCGTCATTCAGCAATGATGATTGACTAGGACTTTGTCTAAGATGGCTTTCTAAGTCTTGATTCCCTATAGGTTTTGGGGGGCAGGGAGAGAGGCCTATCCTGACTCCCTGAAAAGTTCTAAGCTACGTTGAGTCCATAATTTGGAGGGGTGTGTGTGTGTGTCTTATCATCGATAAGTGTCTTTCAGCCTTGGTCACCTGAAGTTTGTGGACTTCAACTCCCAGAATCCCCTAAGCAACAAGCTTGAGCAATGGCTTCAGCCTTCTGGCTGGGGAATTCTGGGAGTTGAAGTCTCGCCTGTCTTAAAAGGTGAAAAAAGAGTTTGGACACACAGCCTGATCTTCCCCAGATGTTGCGACGGTATCTTCCCTGGAGACCTCAGCCAACCTTGAGCCTTTGGGGAATTCTGGGACTTTTTGCCTCAACATATCTGGTTGGAGAAGCATTTGAAGGGGACACTGGCTAATTTTTAAGTGGGTTTTCAGTAGCTGTGGCCAACTTTTCTCCTCTTTTCCCCCCCCCAAATGCTACTTTTGCTGGCCAGGTTACCACGGGCCTCTGGACCTGTACCCAGAGTTCCACAGAATTGCCACTGACCCCACAATCCACACCTTGCCCGAAGGCAGGACGGTCCACATCTGTGTCGGGAAGGAGTGGTATCGGTTTCCCAGCAGTTTCGTCCTCCCGGAGAAGTAAGTTCTCGGTCCAAAGTGAAGTTTGATGACTGCCTGGGGGGCACCCCTCATGCCAGCACAAAGGGGACCCTGCCTGGGCCATGAAGCCAAGGGAGGTAGGAAGCCGTAGACAGACAGAGCTGCATTTCTGAGAAAGAAGAAAAGGGCAGAGAATCCGGACTGGCATTTTACGCAGGGGTGCCCATCTTCGCTGCCTTCTCACAGCTTCATTGCCCGTTTGCCCCACATGGCAAATAGGGTCCCCCCTGCCACCAGCCAGCCGGCCCTTCCCCACCCTCCACCCCTCTGCCTGCCTCCATCTTGTGCTTGCCCACTTCAAAGCCCAGGAACACCCTTAATAAAACCGTCTATGCCCCCTTTTCTTCCCGCAGCTGGCAACTTGAGTTCATTGCCTCCGAATTCCGGGGCCAGTTGCCCAAACAGTTTGCCAAAGGCCCGGGGGCCACCCGCCTTGTGCCCACCAACATGAATGATCAGAACCAAGAAGAACCTTCCAGATATGTAAGTGGAGCCGTCTTCTATTCGTCTAGGCCGGTCTCTCGCGTAGCACCTTGCCCGCCCCTTTGCAAAAGTGGGCCCAAGTCTTGCCAGTTTGACTGCTGGGCACTGCCCCTCTCGGTAGGCTTAGGGCGGGGTATCAAACTCCATTTCAATGAGGGCTGCATTGGCGTTGTGTTTGACCTCGGTGGGCCGGGATGGATGTGGCCAGGGTGGGCGTGGCCAGCTCGACGTCACTCATGTCGGGGGCGCTTTGTGATGGCTTGAGCGTCCTGCCAGCGAAAAGGGGCTCCCCCTTTTCTTTGGTCTTTTTAGTTGCCAGCAGAAAGGGAGTGGGGAAAGCAGTGCATTCCTTAAATGCTTCAGATAATTGCTAGGCAGCCGAAGCTGTTGGCACGCAAGATTATTACTGGGGAGCTATGGATGTGTCCCATTGGAGAATATACATCCAGGGGGTGGGGGAAAGACCAGGGTCAAGGGAGAAATGAAGGATGTGTCTTAGTGTCAGCTGCACCCAGGTAACGCTGACACGGTCACTCCTAATAAATTTTTTTTTGTTACTCTGAGAAATGCAGCTAGAGACTTACGATTTGA